TTCCTGATGTCAGTTCCATGGCCTCAAAAATCAGACATGACACAAGACAGAGGAATGGGAGAGTAAAGGAAAAGTCACAAGGCACTTCTTGAGAAAAAAAAAAAAAAAGAAAAACCAAGAGACAGCAAAATAATGATGGGGAATGGGGTAGGGACTGGGAACAAGAGAGGAACACGAGAGACTGGATACCAGACAGAATGTGAGAGCTAAAAAGGGATGGGAAGCTGGATATAAGAATGGAAGAAAACCAGGAACAAACCCCAGCATTTATTACACAGTGTGGCTAATTAAATGTAAATAATCTACCATCTTGAATGGAACTACTCACCACAGTGGCTTAGCCTGCATTTATTTCTCGGCAGAGTACACAGGACTATAAAACCCAGGACGAAACAGAGGGAGAAACATGCTTATGGGAGTAAGATAAATTAATTATGTGCATGAGATTTGATACTGCTTAAGTCATAATCCTATTTTATATGGTCAATACTCTGTTCTCTGAATTTAATTTCTGTCAATCCCACATTTATCCATGCTTCTCCATTAACTGAGTGTTAGATACAGGGTTGTTTGTAGATGCAGGTTCCTCAGAAATCCTACACTGACCTTGATGTTGAGCAAGAAGAGTTGAAAAAACAATGTACCTTAACCATGGTTTACTTCAGCAGACACAACATATTAAGGCAAGTTTGGGCATACCCAGAACACAGAGTTCATCTTGAATCTGGTCCAAAGTGGAAGGAAAGCATCAACTGCTTTGGTTGTCTGGCTTTTTCAAATCAATACTAAACCTCATTTCAGTCCCAGGCCTGTGCCATGAAGAGAGAAAAGACGCTTCTACATGTGTAACAGCTTTATGTTCTATGTCAGTATTAATACATTGCTTTCCCTGCTGTGCTTCTTGGATATTGTATTGTGTTTTCATTGGTCGTGAACAAATGCATGTGACGAGTTTTTACTGTTACTGACTTCAGTTATTTTTGGGTTGAAGGAAAACCAAGAAAACACCATACATGAGGTAATTCCATTTTAATAGTCTCTGAATTTCCAGTATTTGAAAGGAAAAATAATGGGGTAAGTGCAGGAGTATGCAGCCATTACCAACGGAGCAGCATTAGTAAGCTTCTCGATGTTGCTTTTTGGTATTTCATGATGAAAAACATTGAGACTAAGCTTTCTCATCCATCAGTTCTTGGGGGCCAGGGGTACAGAACGAACCTGACACTCTTAAGTTGCCCAAGAACCACAGCTTACAGTTACTCAATGTCTTCTGGTCTCACTGGATGAGGCAGAGGTATAATCGATTTCTTCTCTGCATCTCTGGAAAGAGCTTTTCTCATATCTGTAGCAAAAGGAAAAAAAAATAAAAAAGCTATTCTAGTAAGACAGTCAATGAACAAAGCCATAGTAAATGAATTCTGCAGTGCAGTAAGATCAGTTTTAATTGTTCAGCAGCAATGTTATAAATTGGAACATAACACTGCATGAAACTCTAATGAATGGAAAGGAAATGGCTAAAAGGACAAATACATGAATTACATTGTCTGCAACACTGGTAGACGTCTGTCCATAGCTCCTGTTTTTCACAGTGCTCCTGCATATCAAATGAATAGTGCAAGAACAAAAATGATACACAGCATGGCCAGGTATCTCACTGGGGAGGATCTTAAAGGAAAGGTGGTCTAGAAAGAGGAAGCTGGTACTTCAGTTTTGTTAACAGAATTAATATTAACATACTTGAATTTCCATGTTCCTTCCCTTTTAAACTGAAAATGCCACCCAGTTCTCTGCCACTGTTGACCACTGACAGTTGGAAATTGGTAGTTGGACATCTGAGAAAAAGAGTTTCAAGTCCCTTTTGTGGGAAGAAATGAGGAAAACACTGCAACTCCTTCCCCCAGTAACAGCAGCAAAAAGCCCAGACACCGGGCATGAGCATCCCTCAGAAAGAAAAATTAGGTAAGAAACTGCATTTTTATTTTCTTCTTACGTACAAGAGTGTGTACTTTCAGATTTATTCTTGTTTTGTATTTTGCCACAGGTGCTATAAGAAACGCAAACTACAAGATTAAGTTTTGTAACTGATGTAATCTTCAGTAGGAAAAGCTACCTACAGGAGTATACAAAATCCCATTCACCAACAGCTACCCAAACTTGTTTTGTATTAAAAAAACATAATAAAATCATACAAACAAACCCAGGAACCCTCACCATAAGAATCTTTCCATTCAGCTTGAGGCAGAACAAGTACTCACCATAAGCATCTTCGTCTGGCTCTCCACTGCTAGCAGAGTAGTACTCGAGTACTGTTCGGTACACACTGTAGCCTAGCTGCTTATACATATTTACTGCAACCTGGTTTGATACTCTCACAAAGAGATCTACAAAAAATCCACCCTTTCTGTGAAAAAATAAAACCCAAAAACCACAGTAAGGAGCACCAAGTGAATGTATTTCTAAATAATAACCCGTAACTTGTAATCAGATCAAGAGCAGGTCTGTTAATGTGGAACAGTGATCCAACATCTGCCACACTGTGGTAACAGATGCACTCCTTTACCAAGGGACAAATCTAGTACAAATTTAATTTTATTTTTGTCATTGACCATTCTTTTACAGCCACTGCAGGTTCAGAATTATGAACAGAAAAAGCAGGACAAGCTGAACACCTGCCCAAGCCTCACACCCATAGGAAATTACTAAAAAAAAAATAATTAACCCACATTTTAAATTGCACTGGCTTAGGGACTGCCTCCTTCCAAGTGCGTGGCCAGGGGGAGTGATGGCCATGGTCACAAAATGCAGCTGCCCAACTGGAGACAGCGCTTCTCACAAGGCAAATTTTTCAAAATATGGTACTATTTTCTGATTCTACTCACAGCAGTGGGGCTGCGCCACCAACGAGAGTGAGGACATTCCCCTGTGGGTTCATCTGATGCTAAATTAAACTTTCAGGAGGTACAAACACCCAAGCACAGGACAGACAGTGAGCTAAGATACTGTTTGCCCTACAAAATTTTTCCAAGACTGTGCATGTGGGAATCGCACAGAGCCCATGATTACTGAACAAGCGTGTTCGAGGCCCTACATGAAGCAGTTGATGTTTCACAAAGCTCTTTTCTCTGAAGAAAAGGGCCTTTTATACAGTATCTCTGTTGGAATTCAGGCTACTTCTTGCCCATTCTGGGAAGTCAGCTTTCATAAAACCCTGAAATCTTAAAGAACAAAGCAACATTTTAAAATCTTCTCTAACTACAAGGAACTTCAGTTAGTTAGAAAACTACTTAAAGCAAAATTCTGGGCATGTTTCATGCAAATCCAATACCAAAGCCATTGACAGGTGTCTGTAAAAGGATTAGTTTAAAAGATAAATTTAATCTTTAAGTTTTAAAAGATAAATTTAAGGATAGTACTCACTTTTCCGAAATTTCCTCCAGAAGTTCCATCAGTTTAGCAGCCAAACCCAGCCGTCGGAATTCTGGTGCAACAGAGAGGGCAGTAACGTGTCCATGCCACTCCTCCCTAGCCACAGAGCCTTCTGCTTTACCCATTACTGTGAACACAGAGAGCATCAGCACAGCAGCACCTTTGGAACAGTGCACCACACTGTCCACACCTTTACCAAAGCACCCCCCAGCATATAAACAAATGTTGCAATGACTGTGGTAAAGGCTCACACAGGGATGTCTACGTTATCACTTGGTGATTCAGCAACCACTACAAATGTCATTTTGCCCAAGTACTATAGTTGTTTCTTGATAAGGGAAATAAAAAAAAAACAACCAAGCAAAAAAACCCCACAAATATTCTGAAAATTCCCTTTTTCAGGCATGACTGCCAAATGCAAATTTTAAGGAATTCTTATGAGTCTTTAACTGAGCAGAATCCAGGATCTGACAAAAACAATGGAGGAATGGAGGGCTGGAAAGCCAAAACTAAGTCACCATCCTGGAAACTCCTGGAGACTTTTGGTGACTGCGGAGGAGCAGAGCCTGGGAAGCTTTGGCAACCTGATAACAGAAGCTGAGGCCCCACAAACACGGCATGTTTAAGGAAAAAAAGAAGGGGGGGGGACAATGGTGTTTTGAGAGCTTTTCTGTATTTCCTCTCCTTTCTACACAAAGCCAAACCAATGTTACTTCACTAATGAATACTCACACTTCTACACAGTACCGTTATAAACATCCATAACTGCCAATAAGCAACTGATGAGGTAGGTACAGAGAAACCTTCTGTACAGCAAATGCTTTTAAGCTTTACTATGTTAAATAATTTATTTCCCTGCAAAGACCCTTCCTTATTCTGCTCCCCAAGGAAGGGGGGTGGGGGGGAAGAACAAACAAACCAACGTTTCTGTGTGGAATGATTTCTGCAAAACACAAATATTCCACAGCAAATAAGCAATAGACACCCAGTCCCAGAGCTTTCCGTTACAGGACAACACCAAACCCAAGCTCAGCATTTTTACTGACGATGACTGACAGCATGAGATCAGAGCTGAGCGCAGAGACTCAGTTTGGGATTACAGAAATGCTTGTACTTGTGTAAAACCTGTTACTACAGCCAAGAGCCCTTGCCAGGCTAGCAACACCAAACAAAAAACTGCTGCTCTGAGTACTAACACCCTTAGAAAGGTATGCAACAGGAAAATGCTATGCGATCGTCCTCTTCCCTGTTGGAAAACGTGAGGAGTAGGAAAAGCTCCCGCGTTATAACCATCCCAAAATGCAGTGCAGCGAGACG